CAATTTATCAGGGTTATAAAGACAGCAGTAGGATTACAAGCAGAATGTGAGTTTTGCCTTTCTAGTTCCCCAGTTTGTCAGAAGGACAGCTGAGATGGTGAAATTCAACAGAAGTTATGATTATGTCTCAGGTAGGTTTATATTTCTAAGATGCAAATACTACGGAGTGGAGTTTATGTTGCTGGCCTTCCAAGGGTCTTCTGATTCTACAGAAGCTTTAAGATACTATAGGGAAATACCCAGAGGAAAATGAAACCTTTTGAGTTTTCTTTTCTCAGGATTTGACTCCCACTTGAGAAGATGTCGATGCTCAGAAAGCAAAGCATGCAGAGTCTCAGGACACTGTGTCTGGCGTGTCCCCCTGTCACTTAAGTTATTTGTATCACATACTCCCCTCCTCCAGATCTAAGGCACTAGACTTGATGCTGGACAATTGATTTGTCTAGATTTCTAGCACCAGAAAGAATTTATAAGAACAGATGAACATCTGTGACCACATATTTGGTAGTAAACTTGTTTTAAGTGTCTTGTGGAGTAGTCACAAAGCCGAGAAGGAAATATTATTAATTTTCAGGCTCTGGTTTAAGCCACATATTAGTGATTCTTTGCTTTACTTCCTACCCTAAGTACACTTTAAAATTTGTCATGCCTCCCCATAAGTTAGTACCTTCAATGCTTAATTTTTCAAGGAAAATTTATCTTGCATTGCTGGTGTAGTAACCTTCTAGTACCGATGGCTTATATGAAACAGTCTTCTGTTTTAATGACTTCAAAAATATCTTAAGATTCTTTACCCAGAACTTTTATGAGCAAGTAGCTTTCTGCTCTGGGAATGTTATCCCCATTACTAACTGAAAAAAGTACTGCTTATGTATCCCACACCAATACTGAAACATAATCAAATAAGGAATCCTTGTTAGATATTAGACACTAAGCATAGTAAGAGAGACACTGAATCTTCTGTAATTGATGGGAGAACATAGCTTAGTGAAAACAAATCTTGTTTCACTGGAATCCAAAATTCTACTTTTTAATTTAGTGCTAAAGGGGAAGAAGAAACACAGCCTAACATACATTCCACTGATAAGGAACCCTATATTCCTGCAGCTTTTAAAGGCACTACACTGAAAGAAACACATTTTGTATGCGCATACAAGATCTTCAGCCATAATAACACATTAACAACTGCCATCCACGTCGCCTTATCACTATCCCACTTACCAGTGCTTAAAAGGTGACTCTGTTAGATTGACCAAACTCCCTTAATTTGTGATTTTTCTAGTTATGCACCCTGACCTATTAAATGGGCGCACCTTGCACCCTTGCCATTAAAAGACTCCCCTCCAATACATTTGCCCAAATCAGTGCACTCAAACTCCTACAGAAATTATCCAACAGCATGAGCTGACTTGGAAAAAAAGTCTGCCTTGCTGTGAAAGAAGAATTACCCCATGAGAACTATCCCCCTCACGGCTTTCGGGTTTTTTTAATTATTTACTTTTTAATGGAAGCAAAACCCCCTATCATCTCACCTTCTCCTCTTTTAATAAGGAATGACTGCCGTGACTACCCCCATCTAGAACCACCATTCACTGCCAGCACCTCTGCTCTCCTCGTGTGCTTAGAGAATAACTGATTAGCACTTTGCATAATTAACCTGATTAGCACTGTGCATAATCAAACTGATTAGCACTTTGCATAATTAAAAAGAAATAATAATAATAACAATAATAAGCAGTAGGTAATAGCAAAAGCTGCTAGTCCCAATGCCTGTTCGTTAGCTTTAGGATTAGTTTAGTGTGGCATATTTTATTTCTTAAAACTATTTCTTTAGAGTTGCACAAGCTTCTGAGAGGTACAGCTTCAAAAATTATCATTTATTATCAAGATCACTAGTGAAAAAAATTAGTTGTTCTATTACAACTTAGCTCTATTACATCTTAGGATTTCTTGTGCCTCCCACTGCTGAAGCTGAAGACATGAACAGGATAGATGCCTGATCTGATGCACCAGGGGTTTGGTTCCCATATCTGTCTACAGCACTGTTATTGGATTCATCATCACAAGATACAGAAGTCTCACATCTTTTAATGCATATATATGCCTGTAATGTACTTCAAGAGTAGGAAAGCTGTATTATTGTTATTGTTGAGATGGATAAGGTAGAAAGATGTGTATCCTCAGAAGGAGGAGGCACTGAATTCTCTCCTGCCCTGAACAATTATTCCAGACCACAGGAAGCATGGGAAGGAATATGGAATTCATCAGATCCCTGCCCCTAAGCCTACATGGTTCTTCCCCGATTTGAGTATCACTCATTTACATGTATTTTTTGCAACCTGATCAATAATGCAAGAGACAGAAGGTACTTTGTTTGCTAGCCTGTCCCATCTAAATCTCCCAATTAGGGTTTCAAGATTAATCACCACCTCCCAAAATCTGAAGAATGTGCATAACTACACTTACCTAGATTGCAAACTCTGTGTAAAAATCCATGTTAAATGCCTGCATCACTAACGACTCAGTTCTCCTGGACATTCAATACCAGACAGTGAACAAGAGGGGTGGCCCAAGTCAGCCAGTAAAACAACATTTTCTGCTTGCTAACATGGGCTCATCCCTCCTAGTCACCAATATATCCCACGTTACTCCTCAATTTAACCTCATCTCTCTCTAGCATCCTTATATTACAGCTCATATTTCCTTTGCATTCCTTACAATCCTCACCTTACATATTCTATTATGCCTTCAAGAGTACCTGAAATATTGACTGCCAGACCTGCTCCATGCCCTTACAATCACCCTGCCTCCATTTCCCACTGGGTAAGGAGACACTTTATGGCTTCTCTGCTGACTGCTAAGGCCAGGGTGGTTGGGACACTGGGCAGCTGGGGGTCAGCTTGTTCTGAGTGATCAGTCTGACTGCACTTTAGCTGTCCAGAAAGGAATGCAGTGCCCAGACTGCACACACTGCTCAGATGCAGCACACACCACGGACTTGGCCTAGAACTGTGGCAAAAATAGTCCCACTCTGTCCAAGCTTCCCTTGTAAGATCTCTCTCATAAAATAAGCCAATGAGAAACTGAGGGGTGGAAATGGCAATAAAAGATAATCTTATCATAATTAGCTGGAAATGAACTAGCCATGCAGAGAGGTCTCTCCATCACTCTAAGCTAAAGAACCCATATGAACAACGAAGGGTGCAGAGCTAGTTACTCACTTCACAAGTTGTTTAGTTTCAGTAAAAATGTGTTGCTGTAGAGATTTCTCAAGTCCAAATGTTCCTGGGGAAGGTAGTTCCAGTAATTCTGGGAAGGAAGCCAATCTGTTGGCTTTGTATGTAAATATTTAAACAACATTATTTTTATATACATATATTTTATACACTTATACATATATGTCTTTAGACTTCCAGACTTGCAAAACTGCAACAGAAAAAACAGGCAAGCTGACATACAACTATTGTCTCTGCCTGAAACCATGCTAACTGACCATCAGAAACAAAATACAACAAAGACTTGGAGACAATTGAGCCATATCACCTTTGTATACTGGTCCACTCAAACAGAAGTGCTGAAAGATCAGGAGTAGAAATTCAAAAGGTAGAGAGAGACAAGTCTCAAATTTCATCTCCTTAGAAGTGGCAAGAAAATAAGGTTCATGTATTTTAAATCTTTCAGAACCTAGATGGAAACAAGCATTCCACCCACAGGTGTGGAATCTCCAGTTGTGGATGACACAAAGCTTCACATTCTGAGCATTTTAGTGTTATGACACCTGACAGTAAAGCTGCAACTTCATGTTTAGTAAGGTCACTGCTGCTTCAGGCTTAAATCAGGTCCATACCTCAAAAGGGATAACTTGGCAGAAAACATCAATGAAAGAATGGAAATGCATCTGGCACTGAGCACTGGTGAATAAATAAAATGGGAGAAAAAATAAAGCCTTAAAATTGTTGAGGAGAGGGTTGACAAAATGGAGGAAGATGATTTAGTGAGAAAAGGTACCCAGTCAGGGCATACGATGAATAAATCAATCTATGAAAATGAAATTCACCACATGAATTCCACCTCCATCTACCCAGTAAGCAGTAAACACACCCTAGTACAAGGCACATGTGTGTAAATTCATAGCTACATGATTTAAAGAAATAAAACACTTCTGAGTACAGTACTTAAATGTTTGTACATATAGCACAGCCAGTGAGTTTTAAGAACACAGAAGTGCACACAGATAAAAAAGCACACAGAAAATAGGACCAAGAGGAGGACCAAGCCTTTTAGAAAATATTTTAATGGCTTTATAAAAAGCCTTCACCCAAAGTTTGAGGGGCTTTTGCAATCTTACATTTTCTATTGCAAAATACACCTGCTTTCTTCTCTTTTTTCCCCCTAAACTAAATATTTCTTCCATCTAATGACTCTCTTTATTAGACAGCATCTAATTTGCATACATTTACATACAATTTAACTGCTAGCTTGTGAGAACAAAGAAATGGCTCTGTATTGCACTGAAGGACAATACTCAGAAAGGAAGGTATAAAAACCAGCTAGCTCGGTGGCTGTATATTCCCTTTGTTTCAGAAATACTAGGAGTTTTAAACACACTACTTAAAGGGTGAAAAAGATTATTTCATCAAACAATGAAAAAAGATACAGTGCAGCTTCCTTTTAATGCATTCTCTCTCTGGCCTGGTTAATGGGATTTAAGGGTCCAATATTTCTTTGCTTTCTTCTGTTTCTTTTATTAGAACTGATGGATTTAATTCTGTCACATATTTTACTTCATATTTTATTCCTATAACAATCTATGCTGAAGTTCAGCTCCAATGCTAATTCAATACTATCTTCCTTTCCTTGCAGTCAGCCTGGAATACAACTGAACGATCTCTGATGGGCATGAAGTGCTCTGCTCTCAATGCCCAGTGCTAATGGATTTTAGAGAGAGTCTGCCAGAGCTTTACCTCATGGCAACAAGTCTAGAGATAATGAAAACTTACCATGTAGCTGACTGGGAATCAACAGGAAGGGAAGCAGGGCTGAGCTCCGCTTGTGAGAACAGGGAGGGACTGTGGTCAGAGTAAATGCAGGATGTAAAGGATGCGTCAAGACCTCTAGTTCCCTGAGGAGAGAGCGGTGGGGAAAAAAAGAGGAGAAAATTATCCTTTAAGGCCTTGCACGAAGGAAAACCCTTTAGAAACAGTTGTCAGGAACTCCAGCACATGCGCTACCAAAATCATTATAGAATCAGCAAGTGTTTTTCTCCAAAGGCTCTGGAGTTGGGGTACCAATTGCTCAGGACAGCTACAGATCTAATCCATGTAGACTTCACATAAAAACCTTGCAGAAAAAAACCACAACATTTCAGGCTGCATGCTGCAGATGCCTACATGCTCTCATATGTGCAAAACATAGGGATACAGAGCAGTTTTCCCATTTGTCCCGCCTGCACAGCAGAGCTGCTAGCTTCACTTCTGAACTCTCCTCCTCCCAGCATCAAACTCAATGACTTGTGCTCAGTGGGGCGGAAAAATTAAAGTATCACCGTTCAGTGGTGTAGGGATGGGTGAAAGATGACCTAGTCACTCTGCTGGCATGTTCTAAGGGCCTGTCCTAGAGAACTTACAAGAGAACATTAGAGATTTATACAGTTACAAGAGAAACCTCTTCTGGTGTAAACAGACCTATTGCAATGGAATGGAATAGGACTATTCTTCGTAAAAACCACCAGGCCAAGTGAGCCTGCACACAAAGCAGGTGTAGAATTCAGGACGCAGCATTCATCTGCTCCATGTGGTCTGGGGAACACTGGCTTTCTATGATCAGCACAAGGCCAAGTGTTAATTCCATGGGAATTCTCACTCCAGCATGAGGGGCACAGTAGCACTGTTACTGACCATACAGGAGCCACAGCACAAGCTGTACACACAAGAAACTGGTGCTGATACTGCCCTAGTATGACTCACTGGCACTCAAAACACATTGTGGATTATTTTCAGATGCAAATTTTAATTTAAAGCTGGCTGAAATGTTAATGACATTTTAGCTGTTTTTCAAAGGGGAAAATTCCCTAATGCTTACAAAAAAAATTTTTTCCCCCCCTCTGCCTGATCTGCTTCTAGTGACATACAGCAACCAAACCTCATAAAAGAAATTAATCAAGCCTTCATATCATTTTCCCTTTTCAAGGGTGGAAAGGTTGAAGTGTGTGATCTTCAGCGTTTCTGATGTATACCAAAATGATGCATTAGAAAACAGTGGAGGAAGGAAATTCCAAAGCCACAGTTCTCCTGATTATCATATCCTATGCTCACAGCTATATCTTGCCGAAAGCACTCGGTTATCATTTCCAGAACCTTACAAGCATGGCTGTGTTATGATGTAAGCTGATTTTAACTGGAGCTGTCACAATCCCAACCTGCCCTCACCTCCTTCCTCTCCTTGTCACATGTCCCCCAAGTCCACCCTAGAGCCAGGACTGGGTAAGTGCCTGGTTCAGGGAGCTTTCAGCTGAATGAAGGCTTCTTTTCCATGTGTTTTTAGCCACATCAAACCCTCATTGCAGCTCAAGATCCAGGCAGAAAACTTGGGGGTTAGGGAGGCAGCAGAACTGTTCAAGTGGAGTAACAGCAACACAGCAGCATCAACACTGATTAGTTTAAGCTGCTGTAGACCTACACCTTGTGATGTCTAGGGCTGCTTTGGTACAACACGGGAGAAATACTCTTATCACACAGCTGGAAGCCAAACCAACCACAGCTTTATACGTAAAAAAGACCCCACCTCACACTATCCACACAGACCATACAGAACAGATGCAGACTGCCTCTGATGAAAATAGCTTGAGATAATGGTGCACTGCTACAATCTGCACCAAGGGCATTTTCCAAGTGGCAGGCTGAATTAGCCTCAAGTGACATGCATTACAGAGTAACACTTCCCTGAGGCAATAAGGCAAGGTCCCACGCTGAAATGGAAAGAAGTGAGCATTCTTGCCAAAGGCAAATGACAAAGCATGTAATTAAGAACCACTGTTACCAGAAGATGGTGAAGCTCCTGAAAAATCTTTCAAGGACTTCAGAAAATACACCTGGAGATACAGAGCAGGAATTTTCCTTTACATTTCTACAGTAACCATACCACACATCTCTTTTGCTGCTTTCCAAGGAAGAAACATCAATTGTGTCTGACTGGAAACTAACTTTGTAACCCCCAGTAGTTCTACAGCCACTCTGTCCAAACAGCTGTGCAGGATGGGTATCTGGATTTCAGCTGAATACAGAAGACACTGAAGTTCCCCTTCCTTTTGCTTCCCTGCTCCAGGGAATTGGAATATTTTACATCCTACAAGAGAGATCCTTTGGTGGTAGCTCACCTGACACCACCACCCACAATACCTTCAGGAGAAGGAGTCACTAAGGAAGAGCTTCACAAGCCAGTCAGCACCCACAGAGGATTCAGTATCTTTGGAAATTAAAGTAACTGAGGAAAAGAACCAGTGCAGACACCTGATCTTCACCTGTTTACATCAGCTCAACAACCAACACCCACCCTTTCAGTACTGCAGTTAGAATTTGTATTGCCAAGTTACAACCAGGCCTCAAGGGCAGGACACCAGACCAGGCATAGGAACTGGTGACTTTTGTTCAACAATAACAAAACAATGCTTTCCAGCATATGTGACTCTGAAGCAACGGCATCCACACAACTACTATTTTTCATTCCAGCCTTCTCCACACTCTCAAGATGGTTATAGCTATTTTATCAACCATGGGCAGCTGTATGGGTTGTTACACAAACCTATACATGTTCAAGTTATGCAACCCCTAGACAAGAGGCTGGGCTGGTTTCCCCAGCAGAAGATTCCTGTTTTCCTTCAACTGCCCTTAAGGTACAGTTACCAGTACAACCCATTTGTGTATATATTCTTCCTGTGGTGTCACTGAATATGTCTCTCTGCAAAATAATTGTCCATTGGAAAGCATGCATACTTAAACATCCACGTGATGACATATATGTGCAGACACACATATAAAATAACCTTGGCCAATACCTGTTTGATTGAATTAATTTTACTCTTTCCACATTACAACAGGTGCCCACATCAGTTTTGACTGTCTTTAAAACAATGACAGGAATCTAAAATTTTTAATTATGCCAACATTTGAATACGTTCAATTCAAGTGCTCTTGATCAACTGAGAAGTGTATTACCACAACACCAGCCTCAAATTTTATCTTCTTTTTAACAATTCTTCTTGGAGCTTAAAGTTGGTTAAGCAAATAATTCATCAGATTTTTCCTTTCTCTTTCTTTTGTTGTTATGTACTCTACTGAAGCTGCAAGATGAAAATGTAAAAGCTGGTTTAAGCAGAAGAATAATTCAGTGGAAGTCCTATTGCACCAAATTAAGAATTGGCACTAATTAAGTTCCACTTTTTGTACACATGGGTGGGATTATCCAAAGGAACAAGGGTGTGACTCTCTTTCCATTTAAATTATGGCAAAGAAGTCTAAGCTGAATCCATCAGCAGCATATTCAGACCAGTTCTGAGCATTTTTTAAAATCCTCCCTGTTGCAACCTGCCCAGAAAGTGGGCATAAATAAATAAATAAACTTCCACCACCTTGTGTCCTGGAAGCAACATCCACAAGCTGCAGCTTGTGCAGCTCTGTGAAGTTAAGGGTGTTGTGAGTTTCTTTTTAAATACAACCAATATTTCTGAAGTTACTTCTTTCAAACATTCGCTTAGATTTGATAAATCACATTAAATACAATTTGCCTCAGCAGCATTTCAAAGCACGACGGCCAGAGCACGAGCAGGTCATTTTCACACGGAGCGTGCAATCTCCCCAGTTGTGCAGACAGCCTGGATTATGTATGCAGGCCCACACTCCCCGAGATAACAAAATTACCCGGCTCGCACTCCAAGCCAGTCAGAAACTGTGGAGTCGCAGACAGCAAAGTCAAGCCCGAGCCAATCACTCCTGCTAAGCAGCTGCTATCTCAGTTGCTTATTAGTTCACTGGCCACGACCAAAGGCTTCAGATGAGCTTACAGTATGCACGGAACAAAATTGTCTCTGCTTTCAAACACCACAGAAAAATAACCATGAATGAATACTATCAAAGGGTAGAGGTAGGAGAAAACCCTCTTGTTAAATTTACTCAAAACATTATTTTTTGAACACTGAGGAGAAAATCCTTACTCTTGAATACTGTATAATAACAGAACCATGCTGTTTGCTGGCAGAAAGCTAAGTTTCATTTCAACAGAAAAAAAAATTGTATTATAATTTTTCCTGATTTAGATGGGGTTTAGGTCAACCTTAGCTACATACAAATGAATGTTTTGTTCAAATTACAGGGTAATTTTAATTAGGACACCCTGCTAGACATCCTGTTGTTCTATTTAATGGACTTTCTCAATTATGAGAAGAAACACCTCCCCACCCGCCTGCGACTTAAAGTAAAAATTATGCTGAATAAATACACAAAGACAAAAATTATTATTCTGCATTAGGTCTTTTTATTTCTGTTAATCTTTATTTGGCAATTGCTGTATCAAAAGGGCAGAGTTCAGAATCCCACACCCATTAAACACCTGTTTAAAAACCACTTGAAGCACTGGAACCAGCCAAATATGTCCCAATTAAGCAGAAACGTTGGCACTGCTGTCTGGGGTAAGGAACACCCATTGCCATTTGCTCTCATTAGGTTAAATGGGTTTCTTGGGACATAGCTGAATTCCTGATTATGTGCATTGCAAATGGATGGAGAACACTAGAACAATAAAATTTAATTCAGCATAGCCTTCTGTCCAGTTGTCAAGCACGGAATTTTGGAAAAAGCAAAAACTGATGCTTTGGGAAGTGGATGAGAGTTATACGTTCTAAGTATGTATGAGACAGCTCATATTTCTTTTAAGAAACTGCCTGGTCAATGTAACAGGAAGAATTGGGTTGGGATTTCTTCTTGAAAATGCTCTCTGATTTAGAGCCCATTTCATTTTTGTTAGCATCTCCTCCTCTGTACTTTGCAGTAGCTTGATTCGCTTACACAGTTTTATTTGTTAGTTAGAAGCATAATGCAGTATCTTTTTATATCCACTTCAGTGTTAAAT